GACATCGGGTGGGTGGCTCTGTGCCGTGCCAGGTGCAGGGTCTGCTGGCTGGGTGCTGGCAGGCTTGCACCTGGCCATGGGCACCTTAGCCAGCCCGTGCCCCTTTAAGGGCTCCGGGGCCGGGAGGGGGGCAATAGAGTTTCCCTGGTGTTGGCCAGAGTGGCCACCAGGGAAACCTGGGGAGGGCTAGCCTCCCACTAGTTTGAATTAAGGGGCTACACACCCCTTAATTCGAACTAGCTAGTTCGAACTAGGCTTAATCCTCGTAAAATGAGGTTTACCTAGTTCGAACTAAGCGCTCCGCTAGTTCGATTCAAATTCGAACTAGCGGAGCGCTAGTGTAGCGCCTATGAATGTTAGTTCGAACTAACATCCGTTAGTTCGAACTAACATTGTAGTGTAGACATACCCTTCCTTATCACCTACTTGATTGCCAAAGCAAACTTCGCACAGAAATGAGATTGCTGCAGGCCCCTTGCATTACTGCTACAACTGAGTAAAACAGTTACAGAGTTTTGGGAAGTGTATATGCTGTAGGCAAGGTTTGGGAGAAGAGTGAGGCTGAGAGGCTACAGAGCTCAGGGCTTCTGGGGGAATCTTCTGTGTGGGGTTTGTGGGGTTCCAGAGAAGGCGAGAGGGTACAAAACACACAGAAACTCACTGAGCACAAGTCTGGTGGCTCTAGGTTCTCTGTCCCCCTGCCTCCAATATCCCTGCTGCTCAAGTTGTCCCTGTTCCCTTTAGAGAGCTCCTAGCTCTGACCCCGGCAGGTGGACTCTGGCTCACAGATCACAAAGGAGAGGGGTGGCCAGGGGATTCCCCCCACGGATCTGTATTGGGCAGGGCCATCCCTAGCGGGGGAGAGGAGCCTGGGACACCCCTTCTCCCCCCAGACTCCACAGTACCCCTGCTCCTTCCCTGGAGCAGCCCACACCACCCCTCCCCCTCGCCCTGCCCTACCCCCCCACCTCTTCCCACCCCTGCTCTGTTCTCTCCCATCCCCATTGCACCCCTTCCCTAAAGCCCCTCCCCCGAGCAACATGAACCTAGGGAATTACCAGGCGGTCTGGCCCGGGGCGGTAGCAGGGGTAGGGCACCTGTACTAACTTCAGGGGTGGAAGCCAGAGTTACCCACCATGCCTAGCTCAGTTCACTAACAATCTAGCAAAGGAGGTGACCAGGGACGTGGTGCAGTTTGCAAAGGATACAAAGATGCGCCAGACTGGTCAGGCCAAAGAGGCCTGCAGAGCCACAAGGGGATCTCCCATGTCTGGGCAGCTGGGCAGCAAAACAGCAGATGAAATTCAGCCTTGAGCCGTGCGAAGTGCTGCCCCTTGGCACAGAGAACCCAGCTAGACAGATGGTGGGTTGTAACTTAGGGAGATTCTCTGAGAGCTTCTACTTCCTGTGCAGCACCAAGCACAAAGGCCATCGCTGTGCT